GCACTTACACTGTTACAATCAATGCAAAATGGAAATTCATTCCTTCATTGGAAGCAAACAAATTTGGCTGGGGAAAAAGCTCATTAGGATTATGCAACTTCTTTATTTCTGAATTTGCGCCAACAAAGTTACGAGCAGTATCCGAATATAAGCAAGAAGATTTTCCTCGCCTTGCAAAAAGCGTTTTAGAGCTGCAATTAATGCGGCTGTACATAAGTCTGTTACTAACTCTAAATGAATAGCCTTAGTGGCAAAGCATAAATCTGCTGAAGTTCTCGGAAGACATCTAGCGCGTTTTAAAAAATATCAAAGCTATTGCCAAGTACATTGTCTGCATTAATGGATAAGTTTGAACACCGCATAGCTTTGGTGAAAGCTTTCGAGCCCCACCCCCACCCCAGACCCCCAACCCCTGATATACCGCCACTGGAATTTTTCTTATGAAGCTATGTAAAATGTAGTCTACAGAAATCAATTAAAAACCAAACAGTAATTTGAAGTGGTACAGGCTCGGCTTCAATAGACCAACTCAAGCGGGTTATTAAGAATTCCATCTAAGACTTCGTTTCGAAATCTTCTCAAATGGCAAATGTTTTGACAAAATCAACTTTTAGTTTCCTATATTCTCATGTGAAAATTCTGAAAATTTGAGATAAAAGTGTTTTCTAGTTAAAAAATATTCGATATCTTCGAGACCCTTTGATGTACTTTATATGTAAGATAAAATGCATAGAGTTTTTTAAAATTTTTTTATGTCAGAAAACTGAAGAAATCAGCAATGTGATCGCCAGGATTTGAACTCCGGACTTCCCAATACGCGTCTCGTATGCTTCAAGTTATACCACGAGGGCGTGCGGACAGAAGGGAGAGAATACCTAATAAATCTTGAATTGTAATTATTAGAATATGAAAATTTGCATGATAATTACGTTAATTAAGCAATTTTATGTTGCTTAAGACTAGTTTGGTGTTAAATTATTCGATATAAATATTTTTATGGATCGTAAATATTAATTTTTTTGACAAAAGGAGACTTTATGGATCATAAATATTAATTTTTTGACAAAATAAGACTGTGAAGAAGGATATTTTTTGCATTGTTAAAGAATCCGACCGAGCTCATTAGCTTTCGATTTAACACTTTTGCTAATCATGTAAAATTCTGAAAATAAATTCAATTTTTATGTTACATATTATTCTCTTCATGATCATTGTAAAATATTAATGAAATACGTTTTGAGGCTAAATATTTCAATCCTTTTAATTCTTCTTTTATTATTTTCTATGCTAGAAGAAATTTAAAAAAAAATTATATTTTAACAATTTATTTAAATAATTTTCGAAATCATGTAAAAGAGCTTTTTTAATTTCATTTTTGAATTTTTCTCTTTAAACACACTACTAAATTGTATGTCAAGAAAATATTATTTATGAAATTAGTATTTACGTGTGGAAAATCAATATCAACTAACTTTAAGCTTTCATTTCTGTGAAAATTACTGTCGAGCCTTGTAATACATTTTTTAATTTACAAATTTTGATGCTACCTTGCCATTAATTTCTGCTTACTGATTTAAACATCTGTTTTATATTTTTTGCTTAATGTTCTTCCTAATCCTTATAAAATTTTTGATAATGTATAGGTGAGGTATTATGAGGCAATTTTTAATTCCAGAGGGAAAAGCTTGGGGATTGTGTAACTTAAAAGAAATTGTCTTCATGGTATATAATTCTGTGAATTTCTGATGAGATTTTTATTTGCATGTGTTTCTTAAAATAATGATTATATTTTTGACTATAAACTATTGCTATATTGTTTTCATTAAATTCAGAAACGAATTTTAGAAGTTTTATCATTTTTACTCAGAAATATGTTCCTGTAGAAAAACTTGAATACACATATATGTAAATTTGTGGAAAATATATCCTTACCCAATAATTTAGAACTTTAATTTATACATTGCAATTTTAATGGTAAATTTATCACAAAAACTGCCATGTTCTTTTGGTTGTTTACATGAGGGAAAAATTTTTTAAAAATTTGCAGTAGCTTTTATGTTCTTTCATTTTTATTTCTAGTAATTTATCAGTCGAAGGATTACCGAATAAACTATATTAAGTTTTCCATAATTTATATGATTGAAGTAATACTTATTTTACTATTGCCACCTAAGTTATCCATCTATATGTATGTAGCATGGAAGAATCAATTGTTTAAAATCATATTTTCGTGCTTATTATAGCCATTTAGAACTCTATTAGCACCAGAGGTGTTACTAGTTCGAAATGCACTTTTTGTCTGAATCTCTTTTATGAAACACTTCTTTGAAATCTTCGAGTTTTTTGCAACACATGTTTTTGTGCAACACTTGGTGAAATGGAAAAGCCGACAGTTAAAATAAAGGTACCACCAGTTTTTTTTTTTTTTTTTTTTTTTTTTTTTTTTTTGAAGTGCTTCACTCTTAGATACTACACGGAAAGGGAGGAATACCCCATGGAGGTTTTTTGAAGGAAAACTGGCTCGTATCCACTTTACACATGGGAAAAACTACGAAAACGTCCATGCAGCCTGCCCGTTTGCCGGCACTCGAATCCCGGACCGAATTACCAGTGTTCAGCGGCTTTTACTGCTCTGCCGCAGGTTGGCCACCACCAACCTTTAGATGAAGGATTGAGATTAAGAATTTCTTAATCTTAAACCTAGCTTGCTAGAGACTTGAATGTAGTGCCCAGCATCGTGTATAACTTATGGAAACAGTTTAAAGAGAATGGAGCAATACAAATAAATACCTCAGCAAGTTCATCCAGTATCCACGAATGGTCAATGATGGTCGATATTTGTCTACTTTAGGGAGACGTCGCAGGAGTGCCACAACTTTTCAGTTCTCTTTTGAGACCTCCATGGAGCCTTGGGAAGCCAAGTTTCAGAGGTTACTGTTTACAGTAGCTGCTTGCGAGAGACTTGTTGCAAGAAGACCTGCTGGTTTTCGTTGTCATTTTCATGAACAACAATGCTTGGCCACATAATGCTAATCCCATGAATTTTTCAAAAAATGAGGATATTAATCGGATGGATTGATCAGCCTGATTTCAACTTTGGCAGGGAAATTACAACTCATCTTTCTTGTGCCAGAGCCCTCCATAACCTGAAAATAGCATTACTTGAAAGAGAGGGATCTAAAGATCCATACACATGATCATGTGTGTGTACTATGATTCTTGTATAGTATACCTTTTATTATATCAGCCTATATCTGTACCGAATTTCATTAAAAGCTGTCCTTCAGATCTGGAGAATAGACCAAATGTGAAAATTCTTTCAATTTTGAATTTCAGTATATGATATACACTGGATACGGCAACAGCTTTTGGCTGAAACCTTTTAATGTCAAATTCTCCTAAATTTATTCCCTTTTAAATGTGAAGTACATTTTTAGAAGAACTGTAATATTTAAACACTGAATTAAGACATAAAGAAAAGTGTTGCAAAGAATGAACCAAATTTAAAACATTAAATGCTAATTCAGAAGTCAAACAACAAAAATCAGCGTTATACCTACAAATGAAAAAAATTTTTTTTCATTTGCGGTTTTGCAGCTGAAGATGATGGTTCAGTAAAACCATCGAAACTAGTCCTGTAAAAATTTTGTAGGTATAACGCTGATTTTTGTTGTTTGACTTCTGAATTAGTATTTATTCGGCGTGTTATTGTGTCTTAACATTAAATGCTGTTGATAAAAAGCGGACCAGGCAAATTAAAGAAGACTATTATAAATGTATATGACATTCGCCTTTCATTTCTTTTGGTGCAATGGTTAATATATTCAGATAGCAGATGAATGATCCGTGTGTCAATTCACAACAATGACACAGTTGTTTTTTCTCGTTTCCTGCTTTGAAAACGTAATGGTCTCTACACCATCTGTAATAGTTCTATTACAACTTTTAGACTTTTAATCTGCTCTGCTTAACTAACCGAAGAGGTGGCAGTCACGGTTTGATTTTAAACGGATTTAGTTATTTTTATGGCATCATAACTGACAACTATTTTATTTGCTTTCACAAAGTAGATAGAAATTAGGTTTTTGAGATTTTATACGACGGCTTCTACAGTGGTCTGCAAGCTGAGCATGCACATACTTTCTCCAGTTATACAGTAGTAAGATGCACAATGCTTTATCGAGTTATATACTGGAATTCTTGATAGTGTTTTCTCAATATCTTAGGTCTCTTAGGTCATGGTAATTCTCTTTCAGATATGACCAAAATATTATAAAAAATAATAATGCCGATGAGGGGGCAGTCACAGTTTGATTTTGAAACTGATTTAGTTATTTTTATCACATCACAACTGAAAACTAATTTATTTGCTTTCACAAAGTAGATAGTAGTTAGGTTTGAAATTTTATAGGACGGCTTCTATAGTGGTCTGCAAGATGCAGTTATACAATAGTAAGATGCACATGCTTTATCCGGTTATATACTGGATTTCTTAATAGTAGCTTCTCAATATAACACTTCGTCCATGGTAATCCTCTTTCAGATATGGCCAAAAATATTATAAAAAATAATAATGCCAAATAGGGTGGCGGACTTAATTAAACTATCATTCGACAAAGGCAGAAATGTCTGAGTTTCTGGCAGTTTTAGAATGAAGTTTCGCCATATATGCGAATAGGAGAATTCAATTCTCGATAAAGACAACATGAAAACGAGCGTCATCGTTTTCTGCGAACATGTCCACCTAGTGATGCGTTTAAGATTCGAAAAAAGGGCGAAGAAGGAGCAGAGTGGGAACGGATGAGTGATTATGTAGTGGTGCTGTGGGTCTTGAAAAGGTCGAGAAGGCTTCGCAGCACCTTGGCCGAGCGTAAATGGAGCGCCAAATAACACCATTCCGACAGATGCTCAAACAATTAAAATGCACTCAAACGCGGAAGAATTGCGCGGCGTCTTCTTCGTGACGGACAATACACCCGGGTGGAGTCGGTGCAAGGGATTGGAACGTCAGAGGAGTTCCTTGCCCCTCTACAACATCCGCCATTCCGCAGTGTCACATTTTACTCTCCTAGAGTTACTTAAGTGTCACCAGTGAGATAGATCACGCGAAAGAGTACTTTGCAGGGTGTTCTTCGGATTTTAAGAAATCATCATAACCCCAAAAAGGATTTGCTCGAGGTAAGTCTTAAGTTCCTTATCCAGTGGGGGACGGGAGCGCCGTGAATGTGGAGTATTGCAGAGACTTTCAAACCATTGAAGTCGTGTTAGATTTATAAATGGCAGAAGAATAACAGCAAATTTTATCATCAAGACTCAATTTTAATGAACTTTCTGCTTTGCTTAAATACTTAAGATACATACTGTTGACAATTTTCCGTTCTGATATGCCCAGCAACGAATCTTCATATTTACCCGGAATGTGAGTATTTTAACCCGAAAGATGTGCTGTGTGAGTAGTATTTTGCAATGAGAAGAATGAGACGTTTGGATAACCATGCAGAAAATGTGCTGTAGATCACAACTGGCCTCGGGAGTGGCATGAAAGTTCATCCGTCTTTTTCCTAATTAGCAAGCAATTAATGCTATAAAGACAAAACATAGATTTATCGTATTGTAACATGATCACGTTCTTTTTTCATTAAAAAATAGTTTATTGCATACCAATAATAAATTACATTTACCTAGAGTTCTCCCGACAGTTCTTTATTCAAGTATCAAAATATCATGGGCAATATGAAATCTCCGGATCATTGTTAACTTAGACTGCGTTTAAAAGAATGCAAGCTAATCTAGTTATAAGGGCTATAATTCTATCTGTTACAAAGACTGGCAACTTTCATTACAGATGAAATATATTTTTAATTAATAAGCGTATACGTGTTTTTAATACATAACTATTTTAAAAGAGGATTCAGTTAGTATCTTCGATTAAATTAAAGATACAAAAGAAAGAAATATATTTATTTCAAAACGTGTTTTGAAATGTAATGAGATATTACAAAATTCGACTGAAATGAGAGCGGGTGTAACATGGAAACATGCAGCAGCCTAAAGCGCACAGTAGTATATTTTCTCGCAGTAACTCCGACTATTAACATAAATACGCATGTACGATTCGGATCAAAATTTCACTATTTATGCTGTATTTTGCTAGGAAGTGTGATATTTATTGTTGTGTTACCTAAAAAAATTATACGTAGAGCTCATAAACATGCATATTACTGCATATACTCATCTATTGCAAAATGGAGTGTTTTCTCATTGCTGTATGTAGGCTAAAATCTCAGAATTCCTTATTTTTGCAACTCAGGAGGCAATGAGAATTTGAATATTTATGGATTATTTCAATAAAGGGTGATATGCTTTATCTCCAAGCGATTCGAATACGTCTGAAAAATTAGATTATTAAATGAAATTATTATACACGAGCACTTTAGTTCTCAATTTTATATAATGCAGTTGCTAAAAACGTGCACAGATTGTTTATTAAAGAGAAGAAGGTTCGCTATACATATTCGATTACATAGATATTAATATCACTTTAATGAAAGCTAATTCTTAGGATAACGTTTAAATAGAAATTGCTAATTTCTTAAGTTTCAGAGCCACATAGATTTATAAAAATAAAAGCTCTACATTTTCCTCTCTTTCTTTTTTCTTATTTTTTGTTTTAATCTTTGTGAATTTTAGAAACTATTTGGCTTTTGGCTTCCCAGGTACAGGTAGGAGGAAATGGGATACCAGAATTTCGTCATTCGTCGTACAGGTATAGCCCCACCACATTAATTGTGAATCTCCAGTTTTGATGTAGAACACACCGAAGGGCGGATCCGAGAGTCTGCCTCTTCTTTCCCTACCAACAGACCACTCGAAACCTCCTTAAGATTTTACGTACTCCCATGCTGCTTACAAATATTCATGCCTTATACGCTTACAAATATTCATGCCTTCTCCGAGATTCGAATCCGGGTCCAACGATACGAAAGATCGTACCGCTCAGAACACATTTTAAATTTCTCAGCCATTTCTAATTTTTATTCCACGTTCGGCTTAATACGCTCAGAGAAGCTTATACGTTTTTGACTCTAGAATGGTCAAAAACGTGGTAGTCAAAGATATCGTATATAGCGTTTATGATATGCAAAAGCATTCCAGTTATTGGGAATTCCAATTTTCCAAAGTTCTAGTTATTCAGATCGTTTACTTTTCGCTGTAGACAAAGGGTTCTTTTGTTTTTATTTATTTATTTATTTATTTATTTTTATTGATTTGAATAACATAAAAATGTAATATGTAGTACGGGACATACTTTATAAAGAAGCTACAGTATTATATTAAAACCTTCTTAATATAGCCATTCACAGTTTCAAACAATTTTGGCCTTCTGTGGACTTGGTCGCTTTGGAAAATTGATGTTGAATATCAATGCTTTTACTGCTCCACGAAATACTGTTTACTTTTAGAGATGGCCGTCTAGTACAATATTTCAAAAATATTTTAACGTAATGACTCACGTTCATGTAATGACATTTCATCGCGATCCATAGGCATATAGCTTCAATTTATTGCGGCCTATGCGCATGATGCTGATTTAAGAAAACATTTTTTTACAAGAAAATGAGGTACATTTCTATTAACGGGATACCACTTAACGCCAAACATAAATGTTCGAGTGAAGCAACCCTAACGATTCATGAAAACGATAATTATTTTATAGCTAAATGATTATAATATATATAATGTTTAATTTGCGAAATGCGATGGCTGTGCGCGACGCAGAATTTGTACAATTCTCTGATTTTTTTTTTTTTTTTTTTTTTTTTTTTTTTTTTTTTTTAAGCAAAAGCAGATCTCTGTGCATATGGGAAGAACAACAGTTTCCCTTTTTCCATGTGCATAGAGTAAACAAATCTGTTTACTCTTTGAAACATCAGAGAATTGTTCAAATTCGGCATTGCGTCCAACTTCAGCATAGCGCATATGAAATATTATATACATTATTATTATACAGCTTTTCATGACGCGATATAAACAGGCTACTAAATTTAAAGCTTAGGAGAACATCTGAAACCCCGTTGTTAGAAAAGTATAGATAATGCACTAATGATGTAATAAAAAATAAACATACGTAACTATTAACAAATAATTTATAACTGTAAATTAATTCGTATTTAAAAGCAAATACACCATAATTATACAATAAAATAAAAAGCACTTCAAAACTTTTCGCGACCCTCACAAAGTTTTTCTCCCGGTCCATATCGAGAACTACCGAAGAAAGGGCTGTAATCGTCATGAGAATATAATTAGATAAATATTCACAGTGGCCTATAGTGTGCGATAAACACAGAGAAACATCTGTTAGCAACTCTGAAAGTGAACGGTATTTTTTAGAACAGGGAAATACATTTGTAATGTGCAATATTTTTCTATGACTATAATCTACATTAAACCAAAATTATTATCTGAGGTTGAGAAGGGTCATCTTATGGAGGTTCACTGTATTTGGCTTATTAATGGGGAAACCTTTACGTAATATATAAAAGTATTTTTGCTTGCTTACTCCGCTACTCATTACTTACCTACACAAAGGTTCCTTTTCTAAAACAAGCTATATAAACAAAGTAACATTTATTCTCTATCTACGTAAGGAATTTTTGCGATTTACAATATGCAGTATAACTTGAATTAGTTGATATTCCAGCTTTTTTTATGTACCGCAGGCTGTTTTTTGTGTGTGAATTTTTATTTATTTATTTTTATTTCTGCCCATATGACCATAAATTGTCATTTTTTCCTTGAGTACAAAGTATGATATTTTGAATTATCGCCTGTATCATACAATTATCATTTAAATGTCCAGCTGTTCTACGCAATCATCCTGTTATTATTATACACAGTTTCAGCTATGGTCTACAATAATCGGTATTTAACCTTAGAAAAGAAAAACGTAACACAATTAATGGGATGTTTCGCTTATTGTTTGGTCACATATTTCACCCCCTTTTTTTCTAATTTAATCGTCTAAAAAATCGAGAATACAAGATCATGCGGATTGTTTAATTTCCGAAAGACGTTGTTACAGCAATGCCATAACGAATGTAAAGTAATCATGGATAAGTTACAGGCAACTTTCACAATATTAATTGAAATCTGCATTTCAGTAAGAATATATAATCATATTAACATTAAAATATCTAAATAAGATATCCCAATTTATACTTCTTTGTAACTTGAATGTTACCTGTTCTTATTGTTGTCTCTGCTACTCCTTAGCCTCAAATCATCCATAAATAATTAGAGAGGATGAATGTGAGGTGACTCAGCGAAATCGTAGACTGAATTTCAGTTCGTATTTACTTCTCTGTGATTCATACGTTCTTCTATTAGGCTGGCTGAAAATTCAACTGTTAGAAGTTAAAAGTTCTGCGTGATCTTCGAAGGTAGTTTGCGAGGGTCTGTCTTAGTAAGACGAAAACAATCACTACTTGGATAAATCTATTTTAAAATTTAGGAGAGGTCTCTATGAATGGGTTGAGGAAGAGCAAAATTACGCGAATATTTTTAAAAATTTTAGAATTTTCATTTAAAATTTATCAAGAATTCCTTTTTGCATGTATACCCCGACGAATTTTTTTTTTCTGTACCTTTTAGCACGGTATAATTCCGTCAGCTTTTGTCTTAGATAGTAGTCTTATGCTTTGCCAGATAGTAACATTCTAAAAACAGGTTATATGCGAGGCCACGAAGAAGATAAATTAAAGATTTTATATTTTGAATACTTGCAAGTCGCATATATGATAAATACCAGTAATGTGACATATTGGTTCAAATATTTTGGATAAACTCTGTTGCAGATATTTCTAAGATAAAAATTACAAGCACATAAATAAATTGAAAGCGAGTTTATCTTCTCATGGTCTCGAAAATAAAGCAAGTGAATCGACGACTGAAGTTCCGGATATTTTGGGTCTTGATAACTGAGTTTCAACTGTACAAACTGAATACTAACTTTAATCTGAATTACATTTAGCTAACTAAGTCGCTGAATAGAATAGATGAAAATATATGAGTTAAAGCAATGGTCTTGGTTTAAATCTTCAACGGAGTATGAGGCTTTCTTGATTCCTTTCATATATAATGTGAAAAGAAACAAGTTTCTTACGAAGTCTTTCACA